GTTACAACAGTACAAAAAAGAAAAGTTAGTAATTTGTGTGTGTTTTTGTGTGGTCCACTGTTGTCTGGAAAACTCTAAGAAGGATTTTAAAGCCCCCATCCTGCCCTCAGACCCTCCACGTTCTGCGTTACGGCCCTGTGTTTGCTGTCAGAGTGCAGCGCACAGAGCTCCACAGTCTAAGATGGCTACTGCACTGATTTGTGACATTTATCAATTACTATAATGGCGTTTAGTCACATGACTTTACGGATTCGTTCATTCGTGGCTGTTTTCAAATTTATTGCGCTGTTCAGATTCGTCTCGATGTTACTTTGTAAGGCGCTACTGACGTCAATGAGTGGAGGAGCAAAACCCCCCAAAAAACAAAAAAACAGTGACATCCTGCTGCTTAAACCACATCCATTTCCTTACAGAATAAAATGAGGACCTTATTCAAAATGACTTTAAATCACGGACATTCAAAGCAGCACCAACATGTTTCCAAGACGGCTCTGAACCGAGACATAATTCGTGTTTGACGGCTCCTCTCAGTAAACTCTAAAACAGCAAAAGAGAAATCTAATAGCCTGAAAGACTCGAGAAAGCCAAAAAACATGACGCAAAACAGCTGTTCAGACGCTCCACAAAGCATCCCAAAATAAACAAAAACCCACACAGATATTTAAAAACAACAATAAGGAGACTAACAACAACAACCAAGAAGCGCAAACGTGTCAAAAGTGTACTCAAAACAAAGAAGAGACTCCAAATCATCAAAATACAACACAGCTTTAACACCATCAATGAGAGACAAAGCAGACCATGAGTTGAGAAATGCTGAAGGACAACAACATGTCTTTTGGAAACAGTAAAAGGTGACACGGAGACAAAGGTGAACCCATAAAAATTGCAACTTGCCAAGCAAAAGGGGTTTTCGCAGCTTTTATCACTTTGGGTGAACACGCATACAAAGCCTCCAAAGAGATCCGCTTGCTCACCTGCTCCTGCTGGCAGCCGGAGCCAAATGGACCCAGGAAGACCGGAATACCAATCATGTTTCACTGGTTCTGTAACAGTGACTCAGATCAGATTATAAACGAGGGCTCTATCACATTCGAGGTTTTATTTTATGCGCCCTTCAAAAAGAAGGCCTTGCTAAAATATTCATTCGTACCACAAACATCAAGGTTTGTGGTAAAGCTCTGGGGATCTCGGTTCTTTTTGACGTGACGGCGCCGTTCACCTGCCGCAGATCAGCCTACTGCACAAATTTTGAATTTCACTGATGGTCCGATAGTCTCGCTTCAAACGGGGACCAAAACCGTGACATTCGTTACATTTCCACACGGAACCGTGTCAACGGACCAAACCTGTTCCCCTCCGCGCCTGTGGCGGCGCTGCACCAAAACCTCTGAAGAGACACCGAGCGAAACGTCATTCATCACGGAATGTGAGCAAAAAACTGAGTGCTACTAGTAGGATTTCTTTTGTCTTTGTCAAAAGACTGACAGTCATTTTTGTAACTAGCGCTCCACTCATGTTTGCTTTGATTGCATTTACACGCAATACCATGCGCTGAAACTCACTTCCTTCCTCTGGAGCCGTTTCCGATCCAGAGGCAGGAAGTGAGGTTAAAGGCGCTGGGTTGGCTCAGCATGTGCCCAGACCTTTTGACATTTCACTCAACACACTTTATGTATGTGCCGTCACGTCCACGACTGAGGTTCAGCAGATGGCACCTAACTCGGTAACATGGTTGTTTTTCCAGGAAGGCTCTGAAGACATCTTACGGCTCATGTTTATGAATTCATCCCTGGAAGCAAGTGCATAAGTGGGACTTGTTACCTGAAAACCAGAGACACTGCAGCACGATCTGGGGATCAGAGTGAGGTTCATTTGTTGCTAAAGGTCAGACAATCCCACAGTAACCTCCAAACACACGGGGACATTAAACTAAAGGCTACCTCCAGCCATAAGTGCAATGATTAATTGATGTTTTTCTCTCTGGAAGTTCATTAATGCGTTTTCTCCCTCAATGACAAAACACAGCCCACCTTTCTGCGCTCTCACTTTCTCACCCAAGTGGACCCCAATAAGAAGAGCCTGTCCTCGCTCTGCTGTTATTGATCCGAGGTCTGAACAGAGGCTGCAGGACTTTTACAGATTGTTGAGGATCCAATAAAAGGAAAGAGTAAACAAAGTTTAGCAATAAGTCAGACAGTAGAGTACGAGGGCAATGGAGTCGGGCCTTAAATTACTGACACAGTTCTGTTATTGCTATAGAAACTTTGTTGGCCTTAACAGGGTGGAAATGTTAAAGCTGCTTTTATATATATAGACCATTTAAAACGATCAGTTTCTCTGATTTAACGTTTTCTAGGTTTATGTTTGAGTGAAATGAACGTCGTTCTTTTATTCTATGAACCACTGACAGCATGCCTTTCAGTATTTATTGGCAGAAAACGAGAAGCGGTCAAAACAACGAGAAAGACGCAGCGTTTCAGTCCTCAAATAATGCGACGAGAACAAGTTCATATTCATCTGGAAACAAGAAAAGTAAAGTTTTGACTGGGAAATCAACATTTGGTGGAACAAGCAGGAGGTTTTCAGTGTCGTGGTCTGTTCATTTCTTTCATATTTATCAAACTGTCGTTGGCACATCATTCCCCTTATAACATTAACAAATAATCCTGCCAGTAAAACCAGGACCGTTTCATCTGTATTAAGGACGTCAACTCCGAAGTGCTGCTGACAAGTTACTAGTTAGTTTGGTCTTACTTCAAGTGGACCAAGATGCTTGCACTAGAATCAACAGTACTTTGTAAGGCTGAGTGTTTTTCGCAGTGCAGGATCCGCGTCTCGTGGAATTGAACTTGAATGTTTCCACCATGGCGAACAGAAAAGATTTCCCACAGAGGAGCCTGAAAGCATTCAGCTGAGGATTCATGTTTTGACCAAAGGGCGTTGAGAAAACTCCGGTCAGACTGAACATACATCACTAATTGTAACAAACTATAGAGAAATGTGCTGTAAAAATTCAATCTCAGCAGGACAATCCTCTCCAGGAGAGAGGAGCAGCTTCATCATTCGTTTTATTTACAGACTGAAGAAGAAGAAGAAGAAGAGTGAAGAACCACCACTAAGTCACTGTAGAAACACCAAGACAGAAATAGACAGTGAAGGAGAGATGATGGGGGAGATGCATGAAGTGCTGCACAGCCCCGTTTCCCTCTCAGGCCAAGCAGCAATCCCTCCTTCACCTTCATCACTCCCCCCCTCCTCTTCCTTCTTTCTGCTCCAGCTTCTCAAATGAAGCTCCTTTACATCCTCCCCGCTCTGTCATGCTGTCACCACTCCGTCTTCCCCGCCGATCTGTCGCGCGCCCCGGGTTTGTGCCACAGTGGGCACTCTGCTTCAAATCCCCACAACAAAGGAGACGTAAAAGAAAGAAAAGAGAGAAAGAGAGAGAGGTGACACTTATGGAGATTTTCTTTTTCTTTATATTTTAGGAAACACAAACAAAAAAATAAGCAAAAAGACTGCGGGAGTACACGGACATAGCCTGTCACATATATAAACACACATTTTCCAAGATGTCAAAGGGTTCGCTCTTATCTGTTGCTTGGCACTTCTTCTTCTTCTTCTTTAGTTTTTTTTTTGGCAGCTTCCTCTTCTTTCTTCTTTGTCTCTCTTCAAGATTTATTCGCCGGGTTTTTCTTTGCCGTAATTTCTCCGGGGATTGCTGCAGGTTGCTGCTCCAGCACCCCAAACAACTGGTGGACCAGACATTAATAATTTGCCCCAAGACACAGAACAGAGAGATGAATGGGATCTCTCATTAGTAAGCAGGAGTTCCTCATATCCTAGTGTGAAAAGTGTGTGTGTGTGTGTGTGTGTGTGTCAAGGAGGATGGGGATTGATGAGGGATGGAAGAGAATCAAAGATGATTTGTATTAGTGAGTGTGCAAGTTTTCACCTCCTGCTTTGGTTCTTATTCCAGAATTGTTATAAGGCTTTCTCAGGCGCACAGCGTTTTTTTTTTTTTTTTTTTAATCCCCATGAACTGGGAGTGAGCCAGTCAATGAGCAAAAGAGCCCATTAAACCAGCTTCTGGACCCCGAACTCTTCGGAAATGTCTTACGGCACGGCCACAAACATCCCGAAGGTCAACGGATAGCCGGAGCCGCCCGGATCGATGGCAGTTGACACCGCGCTACACTTAGGTTGGTTTTTTTCAAGGCCAGACATTGTTAAGAGAGTCGATGATTGTAAACATAAAGGTGGCCCTAACTGATTCAAATTGATCTGAACACACAAACACAGAGTCAGGCATTATGGACTTTCTAAGGGGACTTAAAGGACTACTTGCTTACAGAGCAGTAGAGCAGTGCAACTGCACAGTTTATCAGGGCTTTCTCTCTTACTGATTCCAGTCGTTCGATTATGGAGTCAATAATGAGATAAATGCGTATGTGGAGAGGTTTGAAGGGTAAAGATTCATTCAGTGTGGTTCTCTTTCACATTGCACTGTCAAATAATCCAAACCTTTTGAAAAACTTGTTCCCCTCCTCGCCTGTGGCGGTGCTGCACCAAGAACCACTGACGGAAACGACGCGAACACCTCCAAAGAAGACACTTAGTGCAACTTCCATCTTCACAAAATGTAAACAAAAATGGAGTCGTGTCAAGATTTTGGTGGTTGTAGGATTTCGCTTTTGTTGTTGTTAAAATACTGAGAGCCATTTCTCCTGATAGCCTTGGATTCTGGCAATTGTTTTGGTCGTAGTTACCCAGAATGCCCTGCGCTTTAGTTTGCTTCCTGCTTTTAGAGTGGTCTCCAGTCCTCTTGGCTTTCACATAAGCATTCAAACCGCGCCAGAGTTCACTTTGATTGAACCAAGACCTAGGAAGCCATATTGTGCCTGACTAATTCATAGGAATGAAAATGTAGTTAAAACTGAATAAATGCCACTTTCATAAGGATTGTGTGAAGTTAAAGTAAAAACAAAAAGGCACATAAGTACAAAAATTACTCCTTTCTTTAATAAAAAATACATCTGTAAATTCGGCAGCATGAACTTTGTTTCCATCAATGGCGAAAAGAGAAACAATAAAGAGCAACTTTAAAGGAGTCTTTCAGATCAACACAGAGTGCAAAGAGGAGACAGCAGAATGAAGAGAGAAGACTAAATAAAAATAAGGTTCTACAGAAACAAATCTGACAGAAGAAAGAAAAAAAATCTACAGAGATAAACATATAAATTGGAGGTGTGGGAGAGATCCCCAGGTTCACTTCAGTCCTAAAAAACAGAAACTACAGCAGCTCGTTGTGAAGACAAACAGCACATGAACAGGTAACATGTTACCTGAGAGAGAGAGAGTCCAAACCAGAGGAAAGCCCTGATGTTCTCCTTTGCAATGTCATCCTTTAACCCTGGAAACAGTCGGTTAGTCAGAACCAGTCTGCACAGACGTGAAAATGGTCGGATGCTCCTGTCGGTTAGCTTATCGGAGACGTCAAACAGACCCAGTGAGCGTACAGGTGAGTGTGTTGAACGCAGACCGTGAGATCCTTTACATCCTGCTTCTTCTAGGTCTTTTAAAAGGATAGTTTTGATTTTTTTTTTTTTTAATGAGGTTCAGATCAGAGGAAAGATTTATAATAGAAAACATCCCTGGTACTAGAGCTGACACAGATCAGTCAAAAAAGCTAAATTACATAGCTTAGCCTCTCCAAGCTGTTAGCCTTTCAGAGGATTTAAGCAGTTTTATACAAACTTATTGTGACAACATGTAGGGAAACCATTGCTGTAAAAAAACAAAAACAAAACAAACCTAAAAAAAACTCTCTACAATACTCAAGGTGGTTTCCATAAAGATTCTGAAGTTCAGCCTAAATGAAGCTGCTGGGTGTAACTTTTATAAAAAATAAAAGTATATTTATTAAAACTATCATTTTGTTGTGATAGTTTGATATGAGATCGATGATGTGAGAAGAAAAATAAATGAAATGAGCTCTTCCGCCATCCCCCAGTGCCAACTGACAGTTTTAACAAATATGTAAAAACATTTTTTTATAAAATGTTTCACACTGCAGCTTAACTCTTCATGTGGCATAAATCCAGGAGGCTGAAGCGCACAGCTAATCTGGGACGGGCTGGCTTTACGAACCCTTAAACCATTCTCATGTTTGCAAAAGATCCCCCCCGCCCCGCTACAGGAAATGGAGTTCGGAGGTAGTGCGCCATCAATAATCTTCCTACATGAAATAAAAGCGAAGTGGCATAAAAAAAAAAAAAAGCAAAGATTTATATGAACAGTTCAAGTAAATGTTTAGATTTTTCCGCCCCATTTTACTTCTCTAGCAGGTGGTTAATCTGACCAGAAATGCTCTACAACTCATGTTTGTCTCCCTTTTCCACAAAGCAAAATCATTGGCAGTGCAGTGTCTCCTAGCCTCCGTTTCCCCAAGAAAATAAGAGCCGGCTTCTGTGTGAATATGGCTGTAGCGTTATGGCCCATAAAACAGCATTCTCATAAACCGCTCTGACACATTTTGAGTCGGTTTACGATGGTAAAAGCCCACTTTGGCCTCCCTCCCCTTCAGACTCGCCGTTTGCTTCATCCTCCAATCAAAAAAACTGAGGCTAAATAAAAGGAACCTTTTAAAAGAACCGCAACTCAAAAGTCCTGAAACATCCATTTAAATTTCAACCATTTCCCCCCCGCAGTTCCAACTTATTCAGTGCATCTGTAATACTCCTTTTGCAATGACAATACAGAGTGAGAAGAAAAAAAAAAGTTTCTCCCACAGTGAGTCTGACTTTACCCTGCCAGTTGGAAATGATCGGCCCCGTAAAGCTGCTGACTGAAAGCGTCGCAGGACCGCCGGGAAGTGATGATTACGGAGCAAAAAACTTCACTCTCCCCGCCATTATTAGCTGCCAACAAGGTCTGGGGGCGCATGCGGAAAACTGCACAGGCTGAGGTTTTCGGCTGATGCATGGGAGTCCTCTCAGGGCGAAGTGCTTACAGGGAGGAAATGAGGGCCGGTTGTACCTGGAGTTCGGTAATATTCCACACACCGTGTTGTCTTGTATACAATCTTTTTTGTTTAAGGGAAGATGCAAAATAAAATATATTATATACAATCTTTACTCAGGAAAAAAATAATAATTACATTACATGCTGAATAGCATGTATTTCTCCCTGTAAAGCGTATTCATATCTTTTAAATATCATCATCTTAAGTGCTTGTTTGGCCTTTTCTCTTCCTCCCCAACATCTATTCATCATTTTCCAAGAGGTTTTATGTGTTTCTATAAGCAGAGAGCGAAGCACCGCATTGCGACTCACTTCCTTCTTCAAACTATAAAGTCAAAGTTTTTTTTTATTATTATTATTTGTAACCGTGTTTCCTCCCTCCCTCCACCTCACACTCTCCAGCTTCCAGCAGCGTAACTCTCAACAAACATCTAGCTTGACACAGAAACACAAATATTTCCTCCACAATAGTTGCCCACCAGCCAATTAAACACTTTATTGTCCTTTTTTCTCTCTAGAGCTAAGTGGTGATCCAGCTGCCAGCAGATGAGCTTCACCTTTAACAAAACAGATGCATGCGGTTTGGGGTTTTGTGCTGACTCTGCGTTCTGAGAACATTATTCCGTCTTTTTTGTTGTTGTTGTTGTTTTATTTGTTTCTTTCTGTAAACCGTTACAGCTCAGAGTGCCGTCTTTCTGTCTGGGACCGTTCGTTCCTTCCTCCCTGGCCTGCCAGACGGTCAGATTCGAGGTCTTTGTAACTAAGTGCAACAATTACATCAACAGTCCACATGAAGGTCAGACAGCGACTCGGATACTTTAGTTTTCCGCTCCAGTGTCTGTGATTATGACCGATGGGTTCAGATCAAAGTTCACCAGTTTGTGCTTCTCGTCTTCTCTTCTCGACTGAAGTCGACGGCGATCGGCTGAAGAGGAGTCCAAGCTTCAGTCATCATCTGTAAATATAAAGAAGCTTGAGATTAGATTGAGGACTTTATGAGGTGAAATGCAGAGTCCAGTCAAATCACCTGATCAAATATATTGAAGTTTGTGCTTGGAAGTTGTAAAAAGGTGAACGAGTTCAAGGGAGCGTGAAAAGTTTTGCAAGGTCCTCTAAGTGAGCATCGCATATATAGATGTGACTCACTCACCTGTCTTAAAACAAAAAAATGCTTATTTACCTGAAGATATGTGCAACGGCTGTAATATAAAGAGGAGAGGAGAAGCATTTGGATGTCAGGAGAAAACTGCGCGCACTCTCTGAAATCAGAGGGAGCACACACTCCAAGGTGTGTACATTTATCATTGTACACATCCCACTTTTTTTTCTTCTTTGTTTTGATGAGCTCCAAGCTTTTAATGAACGTCTCTGGACAATAGATTCTCCCTTTTAACGTGGATCAATACCAACCGATTCACTGACGATTGAAACAGATCTGCTGCCGAAAGAGAGGCCAATGAAAATGATTTGTTTAAATGGTAAGCAATCAGACACTGCTGAGCTTTTTGATGTTTATTTAGTTAGTGATATGTTATTTTTTTGTTGCATTAAGTCGATGCTCTTAAAGAATAAAAACAATCAGTGCCTTGAAGACGTACTCTGGCACCTCAAAGCACAAACCTCAGGGTATTTGATTGCGATTTTATGCGATAGAACAATCTATAATTATGAAGAGAAAAGAAACCGTTCCCAAATCACCAACCAATTGTCTTCATAAGGCAAGTAATTAGCACAGCGTCCACCAGTGTGTAATTTCATCTCAGTATAAATGCAGCTGTCTACGAAGGCCTGGAAGGCTTTTTAAGAGAGCGTTAATGACCAAACAACATCATGAAGAAAAAAGCAGCACAGTAGACGAGTCAGAGAGAAACACAGCAGGGAAATTTAAAGGAGAGTTGGTTTATAAGCTATCCAGCTTAAACTTCCAACTATGAATGGCGAGGAGATTACAAAAATAAATTTGCTTAGTGGAAGCATACAAAAAAAAGTATGTTTTTCTATAAATGTCTGTGCTAGGATGAGGTGGTTGTTTGGCCGTATCAAAATGGATTTATTTGCAAAACTGCAATGGAAACACTGTTTTCATACCTCACGAGTCACATGACCAACAGCTGGATGTTACTATTGACAGGAAGTGGTGGGAGAATGACTTATTTTCGTTTTCTGTTCTTTTTTTTTTTTTTACCCACCAGATCACTCACAGCATCGTACAATTCATAAAAAGCTGTGTCATTTGAATGTGGTGAATCCGCAGGCCTTATGTAAATTCACCGACTACATTTTTCCCAAAACACTGCATTCGTAGCCGCTCCCGATGGGTTTGCTGCGTCAACGCCTGGATCACATGCCAACGTCTCCTCTGATCGCTGATAAATAACGAGCGCGAGTGCCACTGCTGAATTATGACTATTTCTCATGTAATTGTTTACATCTGCCATAATTTAGTGACTTGTGACATGTGGTTTTAATGTAATTTCCCAGTTAATGAAAAAACCACATTTGTGAAATTGTTTTTTTTATATATATATATATATTAACGAAACACAAAGAAAGATTTGCTCACTAATGGAAATGCGTCTACCATTAGTCTCTAGACATGTTTAGGTTTTCGTTCGATTTTCCATCCGCTACCGTTATACCTCACTTCATCTGTTGTGACATTGTTATGTAAAAAAGTTCAAGGTGTATAAATACTTTTGCAAGTTAAGTGGATAGAAGCCCAGCGGCGCTGTGAGCCTCTGCGGTCCATGCTGTGCTGCACTGCTCTCTGTTCAGCAGCGCAGCGGAGGCTTCGCGCCTGTCGCCATGCATCACCGTAATTGGCCCAGTTGTTTCAACGCAATGAGACCAATGATGAGTGAGTTTATTAGCAACCACATCCTCCCCGTTTATGCTGGATCTGTTGCAACTGTGTACCGCAGCCCGAAAACCACACAATCGGAAGGACACACTCCTCACAGAGCAGCGAAAACAGCTAAAAAAATTATACATATAAAAAAAACACTTTACGTTTTCTTTTGCAGAAAGAAGACAGAGTATGTTTTCCCTGTGGCAGCCAGATGTGACACGCGGCCTCATTAACAAAGCACAACGGTCATAGAAACATTGCATCATGCTGGTGCCAGACAGAGAAAACTTGCAGCGAGAATACACAAAGCGAAGCTCCAGCAGCTCAGCAAAGACGGGGCGGTTCAGTAGTACGTTTTCCTAAGACAGGTATGTCAGCAAGAAGAACTGGGTCAGAAGTGACTGACATCAATTTCCAGAAACAATGAATAAATATTCAAACGGCACTGCTGTCACGGATGACGTGTTAAATCTGTGGCACATGTATGTAGACTGGAAGCTCATGTATAAATTAAATAAAAAGGAAGTCTCGCTTTTGAACATTTGACCTAAAAGGTCTCGTTCAAAAAAAGTGAATTGAAAACCGCACCTTTGTCTTCCATAATCTTCTAATATCTGAGTGCTGGCCTTCTCCAGGTTCCAGTCACACATCTCCAGCAGCTTTACACACTCAGACCGGTTCCTCAGACCCAAACAGAACAACTGCTCCACCTGCAGAAAGGCACATCACACATCAAGCCATTGTTAAGCAAAAAAAACAAAAGTCTGTTGTAGAATAAATTGGAGCGCTCAGTGGTTGAATAATTTCTCCTTCGTAAAAATGGCCTCAATAATACTAAGCTAGAAAACTTTCTAAAAGCAAACAGCTTTCAAGTGTTTCAGGAACTCCTGATCAGTCATTGAACCTTTTTGAAAAAATACAAGATCTCAGGATGGTGGACTTTGGACATCGACCTCAGCGTTGGTCAAGTTTGTACTGTTGCTCCATATTAGCATTGAGATGCTATTTTAGATTTGAATATCTTCGCTAATAAGCTAATACAACGATACGTTTTTTCCAGGGTCCCATCAGATAATATTCTGAAGCAAAACTGAACCCCAAGTTGAGAAGCTGATTTGTCGTCTGTTGTGTGGCAGGTTTACGAGCGTACTAGAAACACGCAAATACAAAGATTCCACTCAGAACTATTTTATGTAAAATAATACATACGAAAATTGCAATTACTTGCGCTAAAAGGTTTAACTCATTAAATCTAAGTAATTAGTCAAAATTATCACATTAAAGTCCTGCACATGGTAAAAAGATATCCAACGTCTTTTCCTCTTCGTTGTCTCACATTCAGTCATACTAAACTCTGAAGTGGACTGAAAGACTAATCAAAGAGGAAGAAGTCCATAGAAGATTGGGTTTACTGATAATTACATTCTCATACCATCTTTATTAGATCTTTTGCTTTTGTTCCAAGGTTGATGCACACAATTTGCATTGCAACACATTTGTCTCTGGGGAAAAGACACCATCTCCTACTCAACTGTGTGATGGCTGAACAGTCCCGGACTAATTATATAAGATTAATTGTAAATAAACTGAATTTTTAGCCATAAAGACCGCAAAACGTTATTTCCACTGACACAACATACATATTAATTGTTGCATTCTAATTGTCTGAAAGAACAAACATAAAACCTTCAGGCTTTTGGAAATTGTACGCCAGAATAAAACAGACTTGTCCTCTTCATTATATGTTGTGATATTTTTGAATCTTTTCATGATTGTACAGAAGTAAAGCATTGTGTTTTAGGATTTGTCATATAAAATACATCCACTTTATTCAACTTTGTAGGTGATTATTTTGGTAATCTTAACTGACTAAAATGTCTAATCTCAAATTAATCAATCAATCAATCAATCAAACTTTATTTGTATAGCACATTTCAGCAAGGCATTTCAAAGTGCTTTACATCATAAACACAAGAATACAAAGTCATGCAACATATAATAGACAATACATTGTTACATATTACATTTCAAATGAAACTCTAAACAGGTGTGTTTTTAGTTGCGATTTAAAAGAAGTCAGGGTTTCTGCTGTTTTACAGTTGTCTGGAAGTTTGTTCCAAAGTTTTGGTGCATAGATGCTGAAAGCTGCTTCTCCTCTCTTGGTTCTGGTTCTGGGGATGCAGAGCAGACCAGAACCAGAAGACCTGAGAGGTCTGGAAGGTTGATGCAACAACAGCAGATCTTTGATGTATTGTGGTGCTAAACCGTTCAGTGATTTGTAAACTAACAACAGTATTTTAAAATCTATTCTTTGAGCTACAGGGAGCCAGTGGAGGGACTTTAAAACTGGTGTTACGTGCTCTATCTTCCTGGTTCTAGTGAGAACACGAGCAGCAGCGTTCTGGATCAACTGCAGCTGTTTGATTGATTTGTTGGACAGGCCTGTGAAGACGCTGTTACAATAATCAATGCGACTAAAGATAAACGCATGGATGAGTTTCTCTAGATCTGGCTGAGACATTAGTCCTAATCCTGGAGATGTTCTTCAGGTGATAGAAGGCCGACTTTGTAATTGTCTTTATGTGGCTCTGGAGGTTCAAGTCCGAGTCCATCACTACTCCCAGGTTTCGGGCCTGATCGTTAGTTTTTAGTTGTAATAACTGAAGCTGTGCATTGACTCTAGATCGTTCCTCTTTAGGTCCAAAAATAATGACTTCAGTTTTGTTTTGTTCAGCTGGAGAAAGTTTTGGCACATCCACACATTTATCTGTTCTAAACATTTATTCAGTGATTGGATGGGTTCAGAGTCACCTGGTGACATCGTAATGTAGAGCTGTGTGTCATCCGCATAGTTGTGGTAGCTAATATTATTTCCTGTTATGACCTGAGCTAGTGGGAGAATATAAATGTTAAATAAGAGAGGTCCTAAGATTGAACCTTGGGGTACCCCACATGTGACCTTTGACCTCTTTGATAAGAAGTTTTCAATTGAAACAAAGAAATCCCTGTTCTTTATGTAAGATTCAAACCAGTCGAGCACCGAACCGGAGAGTCCAACCAACTCTCCAGTCGATTCAGTAATATGTCATGGTCGACAGTGTAAAGTGCTGACACAGATGGGTTCGCCTCTCAAACCCCATCTCCTCTGTGTCCTAATAACAGACTTCTGGGAGATTTAGAAGAGAACCAACACTGTGGTTCTCCCACAGTCCATATTTATATGGATATCATTGAATACTTTTACGAGGGCAGTCTCCGTGCTGTGGTGAGCACGAAAACCAGACTGGAAAGTGTCAAAGCAGTTGGTCATCATGAGGAAACTATTTAATTGTTTACACACAGTTTTTTCAATAACTTTGATGATGAATGGGAGGTTGGAGATCGGCCTGTAATTCTGCAATAGCGATTTGTCCAGGTTGTTCTTTTTAACAGTGGTTTGATGACTGCTGTTTTTAAGGCCTGGGGGAAAACACCTGATGTAAGCGATGAGTTTACGATTTGGATCAGATCAGTAGCAATAACAGGCAGGACTTTCTTAAAGAAATGTGTGGGAAGGACATCCAGACAGCAGGAGCTTGAACTTAATTGACTTATAATTTCTTCTAGGGTTTTATAATTAAGTAGTTGAAAGTGGGTCATTTTTTCTGTATTTGTTTTGTTTTGGTACAGCAATGGTTCTGGCTTTGAAGTTGATGTGCAGATTAATCCTCTGATTTTTTGAATTTTCTCTGAAAAGAAGCTGGAAAACTTTACAGGCAGCATTAGATTGGAGTTCAGGTGGTAACGTCACAGGAGGGTTTGTGAGCCTGTCAACTGTTGCAAATAAAGTTCGAGCATTGTTGATGTTTTTGTTTATGACATCTGCAAAGAAAGCCTCCCTTCCATGTTTTAGTGTTAAGTGATAGTTACGTAGTCTTTCTTTATAATCCATGTGTGTATGGTGTGTATCAATCTTTCTTTTTAATCCACACTTTAGCTCTAACCTGAATCCTAAAAATGGGGTTCACTACATTAGGACCCAATTTTGTCCACATAATCCCTGTCGATGTTGAGAACAGTGGGTTTACGAGGACAAAATGGGGTCCTAATCAAACAGGGTTTGATCCCCGTGAACCCTATCAAAGTTTACACACACACACGCCTACACACACACAACACCGTTACTTTTTACGGTCACTGTGTTTTATGTGAAATGACCGATGGAGAAGCAAACACTTCCTCTAGAAACAGTCTTGGCTGAGGGCCATTAAATCTTACATTGACACAGTATTTGTGTGAAAATGACTCTGCCAGCCATTCTTCAATATTCTTAGGGTGAAGTTTGTCCTTGTTTCTTCTCCTGAGAGCTGACAGTAACATATCATCACAATGACACTGATGCTCATATCTTTTTCCAGAGAATGACAGAAACTTTTTCGATTCTTTTAACTTTATTTTATTTTCAGGGTTTTCATTAGCAAGCCATCAAAATCTGCCATTGTTGCTGTGATATTGTTCTCTGAGCAAATGGTCCTTAAGGCTCCTATTCCAGATGGTGACACTGACAGTTTTGTTGTCTTAGACACACACGCCCACACACACAAACACAAGCCATGAACCAATAATAACATAGGACATGTCTGGACCTGTGTTTCTCATTACAAACATGAAGAAAGTTGGAAATATTGCCATTGGTGAGCAGAGATCGATAAATGATTAAGAGAGCAACAGCACCAAGAAAAACAGAAACCCAAAAAGGGGAAAAGTAAAAAAGCTAATGAGTTCAACACCATTTTATCAATAGATGAAAGGAAAAGAAAACCTAAAATTACTTTGGACTTTTTATCAGTTAAACAACCAGATTGTTATTTTGATTATTAACATTTCACAATCTTTTTGACACAAGATTCACTAGTGGAAAAATAATTATGAGTGGATGCTAACAAGAATCAGATCTCGAGTTTGATCTGCGGTAGCCGGAAAGTCAAAATTCAACATATGTTCACTGTTATCGGGTTATACTGCAAACACTCTTCAGAGTGGATGCCATTACTGCATGAAGAATACATAATTGGTGCTGCGGCTAAGAATTGTTTTAGTAGTCGCTTAATTGGATAAAAAAATGTGAAAAAAAATCAGCCATCTCTCCAGACATTTCATGTTATCGGTTAAGTCTTTTGATAAAATACTAGAAATATATTAAAACATTTGGATAAACAATTCGTCCCTTTCTTTTTAAATAGATTTGTATTCTCTCTGAATGAAGTAACAAAACATTTCCTTTGCTTCAATTGTAGCAAAGACGGATCTGCAGCTAAAACAAATATTTCCAACAAATCAATCAGTACAGTAAATTTGCTGGTTCAAATATAATTTAAACCAGGGAGAACCAAACTATGTGACTTCAGGAGGTCTGAGTTAAACATATTTCCAATTATCTAGAATGTCTTTAGCTCATTAATGGTGTGAAGAGCCACAGAGAGCAAGACTTTTAGAATACAACAAAAAGGATTAATATATTTCAGAAAAGTTTGCTTCATCTTGTTGAGATTTCAATATTAACTTCTGATCTTAAACAAGCTGATATAGAACAAGTGTTTTAGAAACCTGAGGTAAGGCTGGGATCTACAATGCAAAGTTTTCACAATGCAGGGTGCTAACTGCGCTACTAGCTAAAGACAGAAAATGTCACTTCCATAATCATTTCTAAGTTTTACATCGGAGTGAGCCGTTATATTCTGATTAGTGCAAGTCCATCACTAAACAGTTACAGAGAGCAGCACAGATGCAGGATTGTCCCATGCAGTGAATCATATGCTCTCACCTTTAGGTAATGCACAGCCTTCTGGACATCCCAGCTGTTGCTCTGGAGGGCGGCTTGACACTCTGCTATTGTCACGCCGTGAACAGCCTCCTGCACCTGAAATTGCACAAAGGCAGCTTGACAAAAGTGAAATCTCCATCTACAACACACACCAATTCCAAACAGCTTTTCTCAGATATCTAAGAGAATTTTTTTTGTTTTTTTTTTGGTATAAACACCATAATCACATCTCCTGGTGATGAAATCATCTGTATTGACTTCAATCAATATTTTAAACAAATGTTAAAACCAACAACTGACTCACTTTTAGTTTCACCCGCTGATGTGAGATTTGAGCATTTCCATTGATCAGGGAGAAGTCCCACACCTCCCACTAAACTAACCAACATCAGTCTGAAGTCTCGTATTCATTTCAGCTCAATCAAACTAAACCAAACTTCAAAGAAAAAAACACTGACGATGCTGTCATGGGGAGCAGAAAGCTTGCAGTAATTCCACACATGATTACCACCAAAAACAAACAACCAAAAACATCAATTAGTTAACTATGCAGTGCATGTCAGTGTCTCCCATTGATCTGCAGTGCGTTTTATACATGGTGCTAAAATCTCATTGCACTGCTCTTGTAATCGGCCAAACATCTCTGTATCTGCCAGATCAATGGAGAGCTTTCAGCGTTTCCAACTGCCTCCAGAATAAAGAAAATCAATCCATGGCTATTCATTTATCAGGATCAACTGAGAGGACACATCAATGCGGCTCTTAGTACACAAAATACTAAAAGAAATAAAGACGTGCAAGTCTGGAACGATTACCGATGTGAAAGCATTTCAAAGTTTTAAATGGTTATAGATTTAAAATATGCTAAATTGATTGTGATAAAACTGGAGAAGAATCCTCCTATCACACTCATTAAGAAAACACAGTTTGAAAACTGCTAACTGCAGGATTTATCGGAGTAGATGGCCTGACTAATTACCCAGCTACTCCCAGTTTAGTTTACACACCATAACTTTCTCTCTATGAAATCCATTTTTTATAAGCAAAGTAAAAATCCAACAGCCTTCTTTATCTACCTGACCAGCAGTGAACGGTTACGGGTGAGAAAGAGACAGCGTTGTGCTAATCTGCAAGTCACACATACTTATATATATATATATATATATATATATGTATATATCATGTTTAATAAAGACAGGACAAACAAACCCTCTAATAAATATGAAATGTTCATCACATTTAATTAGCGCATCTAAAACTGACCATATATCTTCCCTAGTGAGGTATCAGAGGCAAATGTTCAAAGCTATTGATGAGAGAAACAAGAACAGATGGTTATGTGGTTGAGGTCACCACCTTAGACTCGCTTTACAACAATTAATCACAGGGAACATTAATCTGGACATAAGGTCTGCTATAAAAAGCACAAAAACCCTCCCAGTGCAGCAGCTTCTCATCAATCACAGGGAAGCTCTGGAAGAAAAAAGCCTAATGAAATATTATATTTGCATCATGTGCTGGCTAAAGACAAGACGGTAAAACGGGGATTGTATAATCTAAGCATACCATTTGGACTCTGTCCAGAGAGTTCCCTCCGTCTTCTGTCCTGGTGCAGGAAGAATTCACTGTTGGACCCATCAGCCCGTCTGAACACACACGAGGGAGACTGACTGATGTCTTCATCCCTGACCGCTGTGTGCTCATGCCAAAGTTGTTATTGCAGGAGAAGTTAGCCTTCAGCTCTCCCGGCTGGACGAGTCCCTGAACTGTCTGGGCAGTGACCACCATGGGTCTCACGGTGGCCGTGTTGGTGTGCCGTGCATGCCTGTCCTCGGCGCTGCTGCCGCCTGGGAGGTTCTCAGCCTCTCTGAAGAAGCGTTCGAAACGGTCGAGGTACGGCGGCCTCTCAGGCAGGAGGTAATAGTGCGTGTTGCTGACTTTCTGCCCGTCTCGGACAATGGGCAGGATACAGGGACCTCTGTTGGTGTTGTCCCTCCCCTGGGCTTGGATCACTTTTGGGGCGGCGTATTTGGGGTCCGAGGCAAAGCTATGTGTGGTCGGCATAGGTTTGCCAGGAGATGTGGAGAGGTGGGAGCAATAAGAGTGTGAGGACTGGTGGGTGGAGGGGCTAACGGAGCAGATCCTCTGCTGCAGAGAGCCCACCACCGCACAGTTGGGGCTTGGCGTCCGGGAGTTGGGCTGGGACAGAGGGTCTCTGGGCGGGATCTGAGGCGGTCGTTCCAAGCTTGTGCCAGAAATGTTGTACGTGGGGTCCGACAGCATCGGGGAAACAGAAAGGTCCCTCGACCAGCGAGCGGACGTGTAGTCTCCCCGTTTTATTGGGCGAGGGGGTATTGGAACACGTGGGGGGATCTGAGGTTTGTCCTCATTGATGGAGAGATGCTGTTGATGGGTCCACTGACCAACCCCACCTGTCGGGACGTTGAGCTTCCTCATGCACTCCTGCTGGAGTTCCTGGAAAATCTCTGCGGATTGGGAGAAGGACGGGGAGACAGTGTGGCTGTGCTTGCTGGGAAGGAAAAGGTTGTCCTCCAGAACCGGTCTTTCTGGATCTTTCGAGATGATGCCGTCGCTTTCAGTCACCTGTCCTGAGGAGAGAGCTCCGTCTACGCCGTGGTCAGCAGTCTGATTGTGTTCGAGCTGCTGCTCCGAGCTGGTGATGGAGCTCACCTTTGAGAAGACAGGCGGTCAGAAGTTACCAACCAGAATTTTCCATCAAATCAAAGTTTCATCTGGTACAATTTGCAATATATAGAACATCATGTCTTTCTGGATTTGACGATTTGTTTTTCTATTTTCCATAATTGTTTGCTTAAGATTCTGCATCCACTGCGGTGCCATGGTTATGGGTCAAACTGTGGCTCAAATGTGAAGATGAACCCTTGTATGATTTCAACTAATGATTGTTTTAGTAATCAATTTTTCTATTGATTATTCTGATTAATTCAATTTTTTAAAATGGCACATTTTAAAGACTTTTTTCATTAAGCCACTTAAGCCTTTCTTACGCAACATTTTATATGTTGTATGAATTATTATAAAAAGATGCAAACAAGCAAATAATCCAATTTCTTTTTCAAATAAGGAAATTAACGGTCTATTGCCAAAAATGCACCAACATAGTGATCCTTTAGTGACTCTGAACTCAGTGAAGTTAAACTATGGTCCTTGAGGTGATTTGGCTAAACGGTTTTTTTTATACTATCCATTTTTTGATAAATGCAAATATATATAGAGAAAGATATTCTGTACAGTTTTGGTTTCATTACTGCTCTGAGTATGTTATTTAAGCAAATAGTCTTTTTTCAGTCAATATACTCCAGTTAATTATAGATTAATTACTAAATTAGTTGACAATTAAGAAAATTGATTAATCACAATTAATCTAATAAATCGTTTCTACCCTTACTCCTTGCAACTACAATTCAATTCAGTTTAGCTTCAGAATCTCTAAGAAACTTTGTTAAAACTTAAATTTTTAATGGTTGTAAAGTCTGCAATCCTGTTCACTAAACGCCAAACGTTTCGCCCAATTCTCGTGCCTCTTCTGATTACCAAGAAATAAACAAAGCAGAGTGAGGCGTCTGGTGAAAACCTGCAGTGAAAATCCATTTTTCATTGGCCAGGCTCTATTTTTCTTGTGGTACATTTATTCGTGGAGAAATACACCACTGGAGAACCCCTTTAAAAAATTTACACAAACTTTTTTTGCTTCTTGGATTCACTGAAGCTACTCTGGTTTAGCTTACCTCCATGTCGTCTTCATCTTGGGCTACGTCGTCGTAGGCCGGCGGCGGCGGTAACGGCCGGGCGTCCCAGTCTACCACCGGCGTGGGGTGCAGGGGCCGCTGCAGCCACTTGGACGGACTTTGAGGCGGGGTCTTGTCCAGGATGTTGCCCACTTGCAGCGCTAGCTTTGCCAGCATTGGATTTTGGTTTTCGACCAGGGGTGAAGGAGAGGGCGTGAGTGAGAAATCCTCCCCGAAGTCAATAAGGGACACCTCGCTGCTCGGGGTGTGGGCTGAACTTGAGGTCCGGCCACTCTGCTTGTTAGCAGAGACCCACGCGGCAGGTTTAAGCTTCAGACCTTTGAGCGAACCGGTTTTCCTAAGAGATAATCTCCTGAGTGCTGCAGAGGTGGAATCCTCGTCTTCAGTGACCGGATCGTAGCACGGTTCTGGAGATGAAAACAGATTCCAGTCATTAATGAACGATGTTTCAGTGTAAGTAACCGTGTCAACCACGTAGAGATCACCTGACACCAAAAACGATACGATATAAACTGAAAATCGTTCCAGTTAAAGCACCAAAAGAATGATGGACACAGATAGGGAAATGAAGAATGATTTTAAGGAAGAAAAACTGTTAGGGGGACAGAGCCACTGCAAACACAGCAAAGGAGAGATAAGAAAAAAAGTGTGAAAAAAAATGTACCTTTGAAGAGTGGAGCAAAGAGGGAACAGAGAAGACAGGAACAGTGGCTAAGAAGCTGCTGAGAGAAACCAGACTTACTCTTGATTAACATGGCTGGCTGAGGAGGCCGGGGGGGAGGCTCCTCTGCAGAAATAAATAAAAACAGAGCCGCAAAGAGAAAACAAAGAGAGGAAAAATAGCAGCAGCAGAGACAGAAATAAAATACGCAAAGGTCAGAAAGCATACTGAGGATTCTTTCTAAATTTTAGGTCAGAAGAAAGCAAGCAAAAAAATATTTGGAGTACCAAAATATCTCAATTTAATCCTACAAAATGTGATTTCAAAGTGAAACCTGATCACTATCACTTACCATAACCCTCATTTTATTCGGGGATTTTATGTGACAGGCCATCAAAAATAGGACATAATTGTTAAGTGGAAGGAAAACGAATCATGCTTTTGAAATAATAAAAAAAAAGGCAAATAGACCTTGCTGTTATATTCAGAGCCCCATTCTGCATCCATCAGCTTTCAAAAGTTACCAACGTGGTGACGAGAATTCACATGTGTAATTTACTCAAACTACAAATCCAGTTGTTTCGTTTAAAAACAAGGTTCACCAGAGAACACTATAGTACAAGTATAAAACAATGTGTCCCCTACAATTTTCATATTTGATTTGTAAACATTTCCTTTCACCTCATAATTATAATGTCATTTTTGTGACTCAATCACATAAAAAAAAAACAAAGAAAATACACTGAGGTTTGTGGTTGTGATCAAATGTGAAAAAGGATACTTTTGCAAACTTGTGCATGTAGTAGAATACATTAACACTTTTAATGATTGGTTAAACCTCTCTTTGTGTGACTTTAACCCACTTTTGGTTCGTCCTGGCAGCTGTGTGGACCGAGCGGGGTTGAGGTCCACTCCCAGAACATCAGGAGGATCCATGGGATTCCCCAGGTACAGGCTGAAAGAAAGACAAGGACAGACTAACCATCAGTGTCAACATGACAACTTTATTCCAATCAGCAGGCGCAATTATTATAATATAATGTAGGAGTGCCCTCTGCTGGTTACAAGTTCGATATTTATTTCCCACATCTCACAGAACGAAACATTTGGAAGAGATTTGACATTCAAAAAGAGACTTATTTCAGATGAAAGCTGCTTCTTACTCGTCAATCCTGTCCGGGAAGCCCCAGCAGCGATGCGGGTTGGTGTCTCCATGACCCGTGTGGATGAAGCTGTTTTTCAGAGGCCTGCTGATGTCGTGCGCCGACAGCCCCGCGACGGACGTCACCACGTTCCTGGGGAACTGCCCCACCTTCAGGGTGCGCTTGTTTTGCCCTCGCCACCAATAATTCTCCGCCCTGAAACATGCGAGCGAGTCAGCGAACCGCGACCGAACGCTCCCCGACCCCGACGGTCCGAGTCACTGACCTCCCCTCTATGATGGTGATGACGTCGTTGACTTTGATGTGAAGCTTGTCGAGCTCATCGAAGTCCTGCAGAGCGCACATGTCGGTAGGCATGGTCTGAAAGAGAGACACACACAAAAAGACACTTAAAGAGGCGGTGTGTGTTTTTTCAGGCACAGTCTCATTTTATACAACAATCAAGTAACTTTATGTTCAATTGTTTGAACATATAAAAGAAAATGTATATCTTGAAATTTAAAAACTTCTGCTCTTTCTAAATGTTCACCATCAGGAAGTCTTCACAACATGGCTCCTCTATTAACCCTTTAACAACGTTTTACACCAGCATTTCACTGAGCGGCAGATGGCAGAATCAGGTCAGCAGATGGACAGTTCCACCAGTTGTTTGCCATTTACTGATGGCTAGTCTGAAGGAGCTGAATGGGGGAGTTACAGAGAGTGGCTGCTCTGTGAGTCAGAAGCTAAGAAGTCTGGAAACTCGCCAAGTGGAGGAGCTTCATCCTTGAAAGTCCTCCAAGCTGTTTTTTTCCCAGCTGAGTGGTTGCCACGGAAATTAAAGGATTTCTTAAACATGCATCAAGGCAACACTCTAGAGCGTTTATATCTCATACTTGATATATACATCACATCAAATATATAAAATATTCCGGGAAGTGGCAGAAATGACAGAAATAACAAAACAAAACAGTAGGATTTAAGAAAAAACATATGATACACCAGACTTGTGTAGCCTAGTAATATGTACTTAACCTTTGTGTTGTCTTGCAAGTCAAAAGTGATTCATTACCTGGAGAAAAAATACCCAAAGCAAAGATCTTCAGCATAAGAAGTTGAACATCTGATGTTGAACAAATTCTTGTGCTGAAGATGTTCAACATAGGAGCGTCTTCATGCGGTGAAGATTTTCTTGAACGTCTTGTGTTGAACACTTGATGTACGACTTGGAATGTTAAGCATAGGATGTGCTTTGGCTTCTGTTGAAGATGTTCAACATAAAAGCATCTTTATAAGGTGAAGAACATCTCCACCTCATTGGGATGTTCTTCATCTTAAGTTCAACGTGGGGCGGGATGGATAAGTTCAACACCTGATGTTGAACCCCTCATATAATTATGAGACACAACATAAGAGTTGATGTTAAATTGTTCACAAAATCAAGCCACGTTTTGTTTTGTTGTGTTATGAGACGTATTTTTATATTTCACTTCCGAAAAAAAATATAAAGGACTGAACCGTTGACTAAAGAGTTCCAAATTGTTGACTTTTTTTCCCTTTCAGTGAAATTAATTCAGAAGTAATAACTTTACATTTCTATCATTACAGTAAATATTTACTGTGTAAAAGAAAACTGCTACAACACTTGGCTTGTGGTAAAAAGAAAAAGAAAAGCGTGTTGTGCCGTTGACCGTCTTTTTGCATTGTGTAACAAAAATACATGTTAAAAATTAATTAATTAAATTGAGTTGAATTGATAAATATCAGATTTTTTCATCAAGCAAAATAGCTTTTGAATGTTAGGATCACACAAGGGTTAAGCAAACAAATGTGCTTACTCTGAGTATTTCAGGTAACATTTCCACATTTCTTGAGCTACTATATGATGTAATCCTTCACCGCAGTCCTTTCTTTCTATAACCACTAGATGGCGCTCATGGTTCATGGAAAGTGATCAGGTGTCCATGCTCCAGAGGTGTTGATGTTAGCATTTACCAAGATGACAGTAAATGTGAGTCCTTTGTCTTGGCTGTTGTGAGGCGAATGGTTTAAGCTCCTACCTGGCTGCCGTTTAGGCCCAGCCAGGGCTCCTGGCCGTGCGTGAACATCTCCCAGAGAGTGACGCCGAACATCCAGGTGTCAGTGGCGTGGGAGAACGTTCTTGTCTTCAAGCTCTCTGGAGCACACCTGCAACAGGACAGGCAGGAAACCGAAGCCAATAACCGCTGTGCACTTGGTACCTGCCACATTTATTGACCGTCCGGAAAAGACGTTTGAAACAAAGTCTTAAAAAGTATTTCGATTTGATTGCAGTAACATCATCCCACGGTTAACCGTAAATGAAAAGTAAAATATTCCATGAGAGCAATAAAATAATAATAATACTACTAATAAAAACCATCACTCTTATAGTTTTGGTTATCCCTGTTGCAACCATTTCATAACATGCTTTTCCCCTCCACTCACCTCTTTATGAGTGTTTTATAATATCTATGTTTTAATTAAACTTTTTCTGAGATTTTTGGGGTTTTCATTGTTTTAAGTCATATTCATCAAAATTAGAATAAATAAAAGCTTGAAATATTTCATTTTATGTGGACTAAGTCTCTATATAAAAGTTTCCCTTTCTGAAATTAATCAAATATTTCTTTTCTTCACAAGGTTGACCTTTGAGATGTTCTTGCCACTGCCCCATATATAATCCCAACTCCTGTGGACAATTTTCACCAACTTATTTTTATGATTTTTATCAATTATATAAAACTACATTTTTCCCCTGATCTGAAATGCATTAGTTTAAACCCTTCACCCACCAAGCAAAGGGAACCTTGCGATGCTCCTGCATCACATAGTGCTCGTCGTTGTTAGGCAGCGCCCTCATCAGGCCGAAGTCCCCGATCTTCACTCTGTTAGCTGAGGAGAGCAGGATGTTCCTGAACAAAGAAGAGGGTGTAGTTAGCAATTATTAGTGCTTCTAACTTTCCTTTACATGGGTAGCGTCCCTGTCTTTGCCTTACCTCGCTGCCAGGTCCCTGTGGATGAACCGTCTCTGCTCCAGGTAAGCCATGCCGCTCGCTACCTGAACGGCGTACTGGCACAGAGTGTGGATCAGCACCGGGCCCTGAGGATGAACGCATCGCAGGCGATCCAGCAGAGAACCCAGAGGAGCCAGCTCGGTCACCTGAGAGGAAGGACAGCAAAGAGTACTGGAGGCCAACTCCGAGGTGCAAATTACAAAAACATCGCCGAATAAAACATGAAGCTTGAAAACAGAAAACTGGTGACAGACTGATTAGTCTGTACTTTGTGTGGAAAGTACATCTTTCTATAGCCTAGCTGACAAGGAGGAGGGAAAAATAAAAGAATACAAGCGTTTTTGAGTTGCTCAGTTTTTTTTCAGTGTTATTTTCCTTTTGCTGTGGCAAACTGCACTAAATTCATACTACCTACACCTGCAGGTTTCGTTTTGTTAATAGGATTGTTCTACTGCAGCAGGGCAGCTTCGGATGGAGCGTAAAAAAATTGTCTTTTTGCCCTCCAACTTTGTGTATGCGCAAAATTTCCACATGTAAAACACTAACATGCAACGTATCTATGAAGAACTGCTGCGCGTTTGAGTTTGAGCCCTCACCATCTTCATGGGGTGTGTGAGAACCACGCCGTAGAGGCGGATGAGGTTCTGATGGTCCAGGGAGTGCATGGCGTTGACCTCGCAGATGAAATCCTCCAGAGCGTCCGGCTGACTGAGGACATCCGTCTTCAGGCACTTTACTGCCACGTTCAGCTGGAGGATCCCAAAAACAGATTTATGGCTGGTTTCCCTCCCTCCCCTCAGCCTTGCCGTGAAAACTGCACTTCATTCCAGAGAAACGTCTTCTCACCACGTTCCCTCCAGGCGTCAGCCACTCCCCTCTTTTCACGACACCAAACGAGCCGTCACCGAGCTTCTCAAACAGAGTCAGGTCCTTCTCTGGGATGAGGCAGGTGAGGGCCTGCTGCTGCTGGCCGTCCAGTGGGCCGCCGCCGCCGTGTAGCTGAGTGTCCAGGACGCCATCACCCAGACAGAGGGGAGGCGTGAGGGACAGTTTGCGGAACGACGAGGCCAGCTGGCCCTGCTGGGCGAATTCTCCCTCTATCCGCTTCCCGCTGAACACCTGGAACAAAGATCACTGTTTCATAAACACACTCTACAGATTTGCATTGGTGAAAAAGACTGATTATCCTTTTATTTAACAAATACGCCTTATGCTGTAGTCTTTGTGGTTCACCAAGTATCATGTAAACTTTTGCACCTTTCTGAGTCGCTGACATTATGTTGGTTTAAGACTTATGAGCTCATTATAATCACAAGGACAGAGAGTGGACTCTTGAATGGACCCACTGTACCAAACACATACAACTGTCTGGATATAACCCGTAGCCATTAGCGTTCTCAACAAAACCAGACATGACATAATGGGGCAGACCTTTTTAAAAACACCACCACCCTGTGGTCACGGTGTGGTCAGTTGGTTTCAAATAGGAGGCTGGGCATTCACAAGATTCTAGCTGCGGCTGAGCAGCGCACACACACACACGCGCGCACGCACACATACACACACACACACTCAGAAAGCATGCTGAGGAAGCAGATGACTCTCTATGGATGGTGCCAGAGGCGGAAACAGACAGGTGTAATTATAGATCCTGTGACTCCACTGCCAACAGGCACTCCTATTTGTTTACCACAGTTTTCCTGGAGGACTTAAGTTAGCCTGTTGACTTTTTAAGAGTCTTGTCTTTTAGCTAATCCATTTATGCAGCGTTTCCAGGAGAAAACCTGCTGAGCCCGGCGCTAATGGTCGATAGGGCCATCCTCCGTGGTTTTGTGTTAGAAAAAACAAAAAGTTAAAGGTTCACAGAAATTTTTTAAATTTGACTAGATTATTATGTGTTATCGGAAGACACTATTAACAATACTTAAACACTTACTACAGCGTCTTAAAAGACGGCAAACACAATGAAATGCAATTAAAATAAATATCTTTTGACACCTTAGTCACATCCTAATGAAGTAATCAGCCAGTGGTCCTTAAAACAAGTTATGTAGTGCTTGTAATGCTCACATTTAAAAGTGAATAAAAGAAGTATTTCTATACAATGGACAATAAGTCAGCATATTAATATATTAAACTGAATATTTTCAGTGTACAAAGCTCAAGTATTTTTTATATTAAACAACACTTAGCCTCGTGTGGCAGCAAGTGAAGCCTGGTGGCCCGCCAGGCTTATAATAAATATTTGCCTCAACTTTAAGAGTAAGTGCCGCAGAGAGCTTTCTCTTTCAGAAGGCTCATCTTTCTCATTCACAGCGGACTAGAGTAATGAAACGCGTTCCTGCGTTTGATGAATCGATTATTGACCGTCACCTTGCTCATCCAGGTTTTCCGCTTGGCCTTCCTCCTCTTCACGGCCTCCCAAAGACGTCTCTGGCCTGAATCGATGCGGAAAAAGTGAAACACAGAGGTAAGATGAAATTTTAAAATTATACAGAGGATAAACTTGTGGAAAACAGCAAAAACGGTTAAAAATAAAGTCTTTAAGAGATGATTAAAGGAGTGGGCAGATAAAAAGTTTGTGAGCGCCTATATGTAGAAAAGAACTGGGATTTAATTAGTCTGAAGTAGCTCTGTGAAGGGAGGCCCCGAGGGAATTCACTAAGTGGATTTAGAATACGATTGATGTGATCTCTTTCACACTCACACACCCACACACACACACACCACAGACAAAAGCTTCAGCACTCCACTGTCTCCTCCTATTGTGTCTAATTATCAGCTGGGACTTGGAGGATTGTATTTAGATCTGATGACACTGAGCCATTATTAACCGCAAAAGGAAATACATATGCAAAACAGAAATATTAATAAACATGACAGACTATTAGGATCACACTAAGAAAATAAAAATAAAATAAAAATTCAATAATAAAGTTATGATATTACAACATTATTATCAATGTAAACACTTTTTCTGTACGACTCTCCTAATACTATGACTTTATTCTTGAAATTTTATTTCTTATTCTTTTATTAATATGGCCCTAATACTAAGTACACAGCCTTAAAGATGGCTGGTGACTCTGTTTATTTTAAGATGTCTATTTTTTCAGTATATGTACAAAATTAAATAATTTATTTCTGCTTTATTTTTACTTGGCTCACAGTCCAGCCCTACTGAACTTATTCTAAGGCTTTTTACACCAGTTACCAGAGTAAGTCAACAAATACGATCAGCAGTGTAATTTGGCACAATAAATGTGAAAAACAAACATCTGTAATGAGCACAACTCTGCCTTTTGACGTCACACGCACAGATCTTCTGCCTCACCGGGTCGACCCATGCCAATTTTCTCCAAGTCTTCATTCTTGACGTAGTCGAAGTGCGAGAGCCGCGTGACGTTGAGGTCGTCTCGGATCCTCTTGAAGTACTGCTGGAGCTGCACCTCCATCAGCAGCTCCAGCAGCCATTCTGTTCCTTCCTCACACTGCATGCCACTGCCCAGTCTCTGGAGGACAAACAGAGAGAAAACACTGGGTGTAAATCGATCAGTGCCGACTCAAATGCTGTCGCTACGTTTCCTGAGACAAAGTCAGGAAACCATTCTTTTCTGTACGAAAACAGAAGGAACCGAGCTCACAGGCGGCTTCCTCTGCAGTGATTGTTTACAGTCCCACTTTGGAAATTGAAGTTCATCTCAGATTGGAAGAAAAACACATGTTTCAAGTCAGGATACAAGTAGGTTTTTAGCTTTGCTGCATCATAACTTCTTTAACACAAGTAAGGCGGGAAACTAAATCCATAAAATATTTCAGCTACTTAAATGTATCCACCATGTTTTCACTTTCATCTCAATGTAATAAATAGAAATTTCCCAGACAAAAAAAGAAAAACTGTTAGTTGGGAAATTTTCCATCCAATAAATGTGCCATCAGGCTACAACATAACACTCTTCAGTGTGGAGACTGAGGGAAGAACAAGTTTTAAGAATCTGTCAGGCACAAAGAATAATTTTATTTTAACACATCTTTAAAAAAATAATAAAAATAAATAAAATTAAAAAAACACTACCAATACCTGAGCTAAGTTAGATGTTATAATAAATCTCATTAATGTCCTTCAAAGAATCATTATATAATATTTTTCAACAATCATCTCCAGAGTAGACCTGGCTTTCTCTAAGAGTCATTAGCAAATTGCTAAAATAACATTCTGAAACCAGTTTAAAACTATTACTTGTCATAACAATGAAACAGCTGCTACTCCGTGAGTCACCTTTACGCAATACAAATTCATAGACTCCCACAGTCATAAGGCTTGAAAAAGTACTTTGAATGCTATTCATATAGGTGGTGTAATATATTCTTAAAAAGTTCAAATGTTAGAGATGAGAAATTGGGCATCTTTGTTAATAGCAAAATTGTACTCAGTGTTATGGATGGCCTGGTTGGTGATGTGCCCCAAAAGATGCTGGTTTCAAAACTGAGCACACAATAACTAAGACGATAACCAACAACGTCTTAGTTTACTGATTTAGGCCTAGAGGCCAAAATCAGGCCTCAAGGCAGGAATGTTATATAATGCTAGCTTTGGTGGGAACCATCCACATGCTTCACACTCATCCCTCCAGCACAGAACAGATACTCAAGATAAGTAATGCGCCGCCAGTGTCACTCAGAAGAACAGGGAAGCTTCAACACAATGTGACCGCAATGCAATAAGACAGAGCATCAGTGCTCATTGTTCACAGGCACCAACTGAAAATATCATCCATCGCCGTCAGCTTAACAAAACCACGTTTAAGGACAGTAGCATCAACGTGATCCTAACTGCCGTCAAGGTGACAGCCGACCAGAAAGTACATTTAAATTGCAGCGGACGAAGAACTGTACCTGTTCAGGAGATTTCTCCCTGTCTCATAGCGGAGTAAACACCAAAGTGCCACGAATACGGCAGTGGGAAATAACCGAGACACTTCCTGTGCTGGCAAAGGCGAGGTCACAAGGTCCAGACAGAAATGTCAGAGGGGGTCACAGCTTCCTCTCTGCCACTTCAAATACGCTTACTTAAAGGTTGGCCTCCATTGTTTAATGACTGGTGGCCTAAGGAGCCAAACGTCAGTATGGCTCACATGCACAAGCACACACAGAAAATATGGGGCCAAACTTTAAAATAAATGTTTAAATATTCCTAAATACAAAATACATTCACGTTCATCTGTTCCCTTTGCACTCAGTGAATATTAGCTGGGTATCTGCAGGCTTCAGAAAGTCCAATTTAAGACTTAAGACCTTTTAAATGCTACTTTGAATCAAATTTAAGATTGAAAAACTAAATATAAAGAAAGGTTAGCAACAAACATTGTCTAGCCAACTGGTGATACATTCCTACTTTCCTTACCCATGATATGACACCAAAATGCTAGCGAGCTAAGTACCAAGGTTGCATTAGCAGTTATTTAGCAGAAGTTTCCACAACTTTGAATAGAAAAACGCATTAAAAAAATGTTTGTCCTATAAAATGCTTTTTCATAAATTTAAGGTATTTTAATGCCTCAATTTTAGATAAAGCAATTTCTGACTTTTTAATTTGTATACCAATACATATTTTTGTACACCCATAAAAGTTGGTAAGATAACATCTTTTGAAAGCTCCAGGATTGATTACAGCTCCAGTCATCTGAATCCACCTACAGCCAGACGGTGCTTGGACAAACCCCTGGCTGACCCCGGCACATTTTAAGGACGGCATTGCTTTGGTAAGGAACACCACCAGCAGTAGTTCCACTGATACGGCTGATCCGAGTACACCTCTGCAGTGCAGCTTCCCTGGCAGTCGACATGTGGGTGTTATTTCTCTAGACAGTGCCAAAGACGCAGACTGGCTTCCTCCAGGGCCTCGACTTCATGACGGTGTCATATGTGAGGAATGAAGGGGCAAATTAAAGGTGCAACAGGATTTCCGTGTCAGATGGTTATTTCTACATCAGCTAATTAGGTAAATAAATAAATACATACTAACCAATGCCAATACCTTGGGTAAGACCAGGATACAGCTCAAGGCATTTTTTAAATGATTAGTGGGGGGTGAACCGATTGGAGTTCTTTGGCCAATCACCAATCTTCAAAAAGCCTGACCTGTCAATTCTGACAACTCACAACCTCATAAGTCTGTAGAGGGGTCTGAAATGTTCCTAAATATAGAGACAAAGTTGCTAAGTTGGCAACAGTGCGGTGACTACTGTTAATCGCGCAGCGTGTGCCGGGCACAGCGGCTGATATTCAAACTTTTGTGGAAGTAGAGAAGATCGGTCAATCAATCGTCAATCACCCAAAATTAAGAAAACTGGTGCAGATTAGTATTTGAATCTCCATGTGAACCGTCATGGATTTTATGGTTAGCTCTAGTAAACAATAACCAAATTCATAATTATTTGCATGCATGGCCCACCAAAGATAGAATCTCAGTTTTGCAAGTCACTTTATTTTGTCAATCAAATAATTTTTGCCTCACCCAAATAAAGTCTTTTTCTACCCTGAATGACATTCTCTGTGAGAGACAGTATCAGCTGCTGCAGCTCCTGGTTTTTCCTCATCGAGTGACCTGCTCAGTTATGCATAGCTATCGGAATAGAGCGCATTGAGTTTAAGTATTGGGGAAAAAAGTCCGCTATGACTATGGTGTACATCCACTTACAAGCTTTATTTAAAGAGAAGTCAGAGTTAAAATTAAATGGCATTTTTTCTTTCAGAAGAGAGAGAAAATTGAGACATAGCTTTTTGCTTGGTAGTGTTCAATTTAAATTAAATAAATTAATAATCTTTTAGGTATTTATAATTTTCCAATAAAAAAGAAAATGTTTTTCATACTGGAGTATGACAACAGGATTGCAATGTTCCAACCCTAAGACGTGACTTCTAGCAGGTTCCTGAGAAACCAAACTTTGGTCAGAAGTCCAGGACTGAGGGTACTTTAATAGTTTTGTTTTTCTACCTCTAAAAAGCAACCAGAAGTGGTGAGAACTGTTGGAAAAAGTACATTTTCATCTCAGACCCTTTTGCAAACACTTACCATACAAAAAGCAATGCTTAGGACCAAAAAGGAAGTATGAAGGAAGGATGAGAAAGAGGAATGTGGGAATTCGCAGCAGCAGCAAAGCAACATTATTTCTGGCTCAATTCATTCCTCATAGTGGTGATGAATTAACACACACACACACACACACACACACACACGCACAGAAATCTCTTGGCCCAGACTAGGTTCTGCTGTAATATCCTGCTGCTGCAACAACAACAAGTCTCCCAGAGGAGAGCCCCCTTCACATCTTCCTGACTTCACCATACCACAACCATGATTCATGGGTGGCGCTTCCACCACATGATCCAAGCCGTAGCTACAACTGGCCGCACCGCGGCGGACACTTACACGGTACAGATGGAAGCGTGCCACGAAGGGGAAGGCTTTTTTCAGCTTGTCGATGCGCCGCATTGCCAAGCTGCCGTTTCTGGATCAGAGTGAAAAATTAAAGTGCGAGTTGATTTAACTAGCTGTCCTTTAGGCTGTTAATAAAGCCTCTGTTTGGAGTGACAGAAGATGCGGACAGTGTCTCTGGATGCGAACCCGAAGCTCTCATCCGGTGAGAGGGAAGCAAAACGTCCGGCGACTTGGTGACATTCCATGGCAGGACAAGTTCCCACGTAAAGCCTCTACAGCCTCATCGCAGGGTCAAGAAGGCACTTAAATGCAGCACTGATGCATACAAAACAGAAAGACAAAAAAAGTCTGATTCTATCAGGAAAGGCTGAAGGATGGGTCAGCCTCGTCTTTCGCGTGCAGACAGCAATGAGCCAGTTATTTAAACTTGCAGAACTTCACAAATAAGACACGCCTTCTTCCTCCGGTCCTTCCTCCATCCCCTCCCCGACTCAGCTTTGCATATCCAACAACCCGTCTTGTTTGCTTTTCCGTCCCTCCGACGTGCGTGGAACTAAAAATAGGAACAACTTCTCCCCGATCTGACTCCCCTGCAATCGGAGAGGTAGCACAGGCGTTCCATGGAGGAGACCTGCTTAGATTTCCAAAAATGTGTTTTGCATCTAGTTAAACTGCACGCGTTTCTTTTCCCACCTTCTTTCTGAAACTCTACTCTCCGCCCCACTGTCCCTCCCTCCCGCCTCACAGCGTCCTGCAAGCACGGAGTTGATCCGTGCATAGCGGAGCGGAGCAGAACAGGACAGGGCTGTGCGTGGTTTAGAGGACAGAGGCTTCATGGTGTTCGGCTCAGCGCAGCATTTGATCCAGGGCCAAGGGGTCACATTCAACCACAGGGTTGGGAGAAAGTGGGATGGGGGGACGACTTCCTGTGATGCAACAGCCCCAAACACAAAAAGATACACACACAGGGAGAATGCACATGCACGGTCTTCGCATAAGTATCCATAATCCTTGAACCTTTCCAGGTTTTGTCGCCTCACAAGCAGAATTTTGTGGGGATGTTGATAATTTAATGAGACACTTTGCATTTTCATTCAGCCCCCTCTGCTCTGAAACCATGGGGGAAAAAATCCAATGCTACGAGTTAGCTTCAGAAATCGTATAGTTGCAACGGCAGTCCCTCTGTTGGCCCCAGAGATTTGTTAGAGAGCAAACAGCATCAAGAAAACCATTGATGAGGTTAGAATTGGAGCTGAGCAATATGGCTTCCAAATAATATCTGAGTTTTTTCATCCGATTTCAAGCCATAGATGTACACTACAAACAGAAAATAATTTCACAAAGTGGCTTTTATTTCAACCATCCCTCTGCAAATTGTATGATTGAGTACAAGAACCAGGCTACAAAACGTTTTGGTTAATTATGAAAATATAATCATAATTTTAGCAGAATAACAACATCACACCAAAAATTGCCTTAAAATTATGAGACAAATTGTTTTAATGAAAAAAAAAAACCACGGTGTATTCACCACCATGCCTACAGTGAAACATGGTGGTGACTGAATCATGCTGTGGGGATTCCTGTCTTAAGAGTCAAACAAAAGGTAAATCCTGGAAAAAGGTTGTTAGACGCTGAAAATTATTTTTTAGAAAACAGATGAAATTTTAGCTGATAGATGTGAAAAATTAGTGAAGCTATAAGTGAATGAATGAAAAGGGGTTTCTCCAAAGGTTTGAATCGGGGTGAGAATGGGAAGAAAATGTGTTTCACACTTTTCAGACTTTTATCAGTGAACTATCTGGAAATGTATATGTTGTTTTCCCTCTGCGACACCATTATCCAGAATAACAGAATGGTCAATCATTGGGGTAGGCATTTATTGTATCGTTTATCATTTATTGTTCTAAATTTCTTATAAGATCTTATAACATCAAAAATTTATATTTTTGATGTTTTTAAAAAAACAAAAAAAAACTGTATTGTCAGGATTTTAAATTTTACTATTTTCCACGCTTTATGTTAGGTGACAGTATCTTTGCATATCAATAGATTCAATGATTGATTGAAGTATCTGTATTTTTATACGTTAACAAAACAGATCTAGAGAATTTCTCATAATACCCAAAGTCTGCTTCCCAGCTCTGCTCCAGTGACGTTTGCTGTATTTTAGGAAATTCCTCGCCTTTCTCCTCCCCCGTTTCAAAAATCTCCTCCCTCAAGAGGCTTCAGCCAAACCGTTGTGTTTTCTTCTTTATTTGGTGCTGCCTTCAATTTCCTGCCTATAATCCCCCCAAAAATCTTATCTCTCTTCCACCACTCTGCCGAATGTAAACACAGCCCCGTCCCAAACACTTTTCAGCATTTCACCCAACATTTACTTTGTTTTCATGTGGGCTGGAAACTAGGAAACTTAAAAACAATTGGTGCCGAGTACCTTTTGGTTTGTTTGGTTTTTAGTGTCCTTTTCCAAAGAAGTTATTTAGTAGTTTTTGTACAAAATGAAGTAACTGCGAGAAAACTATTAAAAACAACAACCAACTTTTGTGACTCAGTCCTCACAGTTGCAATTGTTTATCGAGGAAGAACAGCCTGGTGACCTTCACGACATGAAATTTAATGACATAATGTTTGCTTTGGAGCAGTTATGTAACGGACTTTAATGTGAACCAGATGATGGAGAGCAAGCCACATTCCTTAAAAACCCACATCTGGACGAGGAGCCTTTAACGGATTCGTCACCTGAAACACATGCCGAATAAAAGGTTGAAGAGTGTTCAGGTGTTCTTCCTATTAAACATTCAGCAACTGCAGAAAATGAAATCCAGCAGGGAAGTGGGGGATAGGGGGGGTCTATGGGTGGGCGCAGGTCAAAGTGTACGTCCAAAAGTTAATCTACAACCAAAAGAAATACAGAGTGAGAAAGGATGTATGAGACGTTTCTGACGGTCACCATCAGATGAGATGGTAAAAAATGCAATTGGTTACCTGTTCTTTAAACGCATCAAAACTATAAAGGTCTCAAAAAGACGTTCGATGGGCTGTGTTTTGACTATATAACTCTATGGATAAAAGATTTATCCAATCATTGGATTAGGAAATGTAGAATTCTACATTTCTATTTCTATCAAGAAACTTGCACTTTTACGACTTAAAGTCTTTAAGAGGAAAGACAACTTGAAATCTTAAAACCCTGACGAAGTTTGATTGATCCTCACAGATCAATCAAACAGATAACCATCAGCTCTTTTATTGAATAGTTGCAGTTTGAAATCAATAGGAGTCTAATTGCCAACCAAGTTTCACCTCACTGAGCAAATCAAAACACTGTGTACCTTATAGTGTACAGTGAGTGTAGCTCTAACAAAAAGCCACCAGGTGGCAGCAGACCTCTGACTAGAATTGGTGATGAAATCTTTATAATTCAGTATTCTGAGCGTCTGCTGGTCAGCCATTACTAAACTGAACGTGGTTTATGTTTTTCACAAGCTGTACAATAAATCCACAGGGTCTTGTTTGAACATAACAAAACCCTGTTCAACAACTGAGCAGTAAAAATCAACAGAAAGAGGACATGTCAAGCTCATTCATAAAGACATAGTTGAACGACAGAAAACTCAAAGGACTGTCTCAACCAGCGTGATGGTACCGAGAGATGGATGATGTATCGGCATCAACATCGGTGTCGGCCAATCCCAGACAATTCAACATATTGGTATCAGTCTGATCAGTAAAACTGAGCAGATAACAACTGTGGGACATTGTTTTGGAAATTATTTCAACATCAAAAGGTTTTGAACCAAAGGACAATGCAGAAGTTTCCATAAAGAGAGTGCTTGAGGATTTGACTGTGCCAAGATTAGTGACTCTGAGAAACAATTATGTTCTTCAGCATAAGGGAAGGTAGAACAAAAATGGAAAAGTGCATCATTCACTATAAAAAGCAGACTGATCCAAAGTTAAGTAATCATAGACCTGCAATAAGACCAGCAACCTGATTCCAATGAAATATTATGAGTTAACACAAGGTTGAAGTGGGGAAAAGGTCAACCAAATGATACAGTGTTTTTCAAAAGTATTTGAACTGTTTGAAGCTCTACACATTTTGCTATAATACAGCCAGACCCCTCAAAAGTGTTATATGAAGATTTTATATGACAGAAAGAAAGAGCGCCAATCTAAGGTGGAATGAAATCAAATCCAAAAAGTATAAGGTTGCACGTCTATTTACCCCAAGTTTCCTTTAATACCCCTAAAATAATACATGTACAGACAATTACACAGAAGTTGCTCTGTTTGAAAAAGTCAGAGGTTTTTGACCCATGTAGTGAATTAACTCCTCCACTTTAAAAAATATCTTCACCCTTAAACATGGAGGTATTATGCCAAGGGGACATGTGTTTTCAGCTTGAAGTTGGGAAGACGAATGTAGCCAAACACCAGATGACACTGGAAGAAATCTGTTAGAAATTGTGCTAAACTTGAGACCAGAGGAGAGGTTCACTTTCCAACAGGAGAAGGCAAACTATACAAGCAGAGCCACAATGGTACAATGGAACAGTTTAGAAAAAAGCACAGACTTGAATATAAGGTGAGAGTTCAGATCTCTTACTCTGAAATCTCCCCATTTAATCTGACTAAGGTTGACTTATTATGAAAAGAATTGTCAAAAATGTAGGTCTACAGATCTGAAAAGTGTGAACCCCGTATGAACCACTGCATGCATGTCCAGCTGCTTCCACCTGGCATTTATTATCTTCTCTCTGTAATACTCCCTCAAAAAGCAGCAGGAGTCCGTCAGCTGTACAAGTTGAACACAATGAAAGCACACTTATGTTACAAATCTCAAACTATAACTCTGTAGATCATTTTATCAGCAACTGGCATTAAAGCAGAAGCTTTTATGCTAAAAAAATCTACTAAATTAAAAGAGTGGTACAGAGTCGACCTTTTTTGCAACACGCAATCCCATTGAGCTCATCTCCGTAACGTGATGCTCATTGTAGTGGGTTTGAGGCATGAAAAGGCATGTGCTTCCATCGCAGGGATCCACCGTGACGTACGGTATTGGGAGCTAAGCCACCTTGGAGTTTATCTTGGAATCTTTTGGCAGCAAAGTGAGTTTTGTGGTTTAACTAGCTGGTGCCAAAAAGCTGCCAGAGCATAGTGATGGCAGTAATAATCCCTCTTACAACCGTGCAAGCAAAACAACTACACACCCTTACACACAGGATTTCACTGCATGCACAGACAGACTGATATGCGTCACTGCTGACCTCACAGATACTACGCACATTTGACGAGGCCTGGCTTTCCCTTCGCTGCCTCCGACGGTTCGTTGTCCGTAGAGCGAAAACACGAGGAGGCCTGATGTTTGGATAGGAACTCTGTACATGAACAGGCCCCATGGAATACA